TAAGACCTTAAAAAGGCGTTATGCTCGAAACCCTCTAATGTCTGATTAGGAATTCTGCAAGATGAGTGGGCAAAAATTCTCCAGGACGCTGTAAAAGCCTCATTGCACGTTATCGGAAACGCTTGGTGCAGTTGTTGCTGCTAAGGGTGGCCAACAGTTATTAGTTTGGGGGCATTTTTCACACAGGGCATGAAGGTTTGGTTTTTTTTTCACCTTTAATAATAAACACTTCTTACAAATTGCATTTTGTGTTTACTTGTTTGTCCTTGATATTTGTTTAATTGGTTTGATGTTGAAATTAGTAGTGACAAACATGGCAAAGGAAAGGAAATGAGGAAGGGGGCAAACACTTTTCACAGCCAGCTGTACTCCTAGTACTATCATTACTGACGTTACCATTACTTCTATACTAGCTTTCACTACTACTAATAATGCTTTCACTGCAACTGTAGTAGCTACTATTGCTCTTACAGCTACTATTTCTACCACTAATACTATTATTTACTATTTACTTTAAGACATAATCAAATTACAGTTAAACTGAGTAAAAAAATTTGATTATTTAACAGGATTACAATTTTGAAATATGTCATTCATTATACATTATCATACCCAAACGTGGGGTTGGGGCATTTTTCTGGGTTGTTTTCTGAGAGTTGGGTAGTTGTTTTGAGACCCAGCTGCTGGTTTAGCGGTTGGCTCACCCACAGCGACGGTTGAGGTAAGTAGTAACTGTGTCAGATTACATTTTTAAAATAACCCCCCAACCCTGCTGCTATGCTACTACTACCTATTACTCCCACTTCCCCTACTACAACTAATACTACTGCCACCACCAATAGCAATATTTATAATAACAATATGTATCTATTTTAACTTAAATTCAAATTAAATCTCAACACTATAGGGCATTTAATAGCTGTTCTCCAGCTTTCTATCATTAATCGTCCTCAGCAGATAACGTTTGCCCAGTTGTGGAAGCAGATGTTCAAATTTCTATTTACAAAATGCACTTTAAGTACGTCTCATCCATGTTGGCTTAAGGATTGTTGACTTCCTGACCTGGAATTCTTTGTAGTGTCAAAAGCTAAATGGACCTTGTGGTGAGTCTATTTTGTCAACAGTGGTTTCCAAGGTCAGGAACAATCTAAAAAAACAAAAACAAATATCATATAATCATACAGTCGAGTGTCACAACCGAGCTAAAGCTATTCAAACGTAGTGGCTTTTCTTGTTCTGCGCAACACATTTGAAGAAGAAGTTCTGAGTATTACCGGTTGACATACAAGGACCACTTCCTGCACAAAAAAAGTCAAAAAGTGACAAACAAAAGTCAGCCTTGTACTGCACTTCAAGCACTCGTGATTATCATGAAGATATGAGACAAAAGACAAAACCGTCAACCTCTGTGAAGTGGGTGAATTTGAAGAGTTAGTTGGTATTTATATATTTTCTACTGATGTTGTAGTAGTTCTTATATAGTTAGTATAGGTAACAAAATAAAATATTCAGTGAGTTGCTGTTCAGGCTTGACATCTGTTGCTCACTTTGGCCTTTTTTTTTGCATACTTATGTACCATCAAAACAAAATTGTACACTTGAAAACAGATTTGTTTTGCTCGCAGGCGGCAGTGAAATGTGGGCGGCAGGAGGCATTTAGTAAAGGGAAGCAGAAACTCATCTCAAGATGATGTTAACCACAGAGAGCATTTTCAGCTCTACGAAAAAGTCTGAAAGTGTCAGAGAAAAATAGGGCACCGACATTCACACTAAACTGTATTTGTGAGGCCAAAGGTGAGAGCTCTGTGGTTAGAGATGATGTCTGAACCTTCACATCTGTGTTTCCATATCAGAGATTTCATGGCAAAAGATGATTGTGACATAATTCCTACATGTTTGATTTGTGATATAACAGGTCACACTAACCATTCATTATATAACATTTCCATGAAAACTATACTTTGTTCGCAAACACAAACAGCCAAATATAGCTGCGGCTGGAGGAGAGGACGCTGTTGAAGCTACGTCATGTGTTTTTGATCTTTTTTAAAAGGAATAATGAACGTCTATTCAGATGTGTGGGGATGTTTCTGTGCCATAAAGGGCTGGGATTTGCTCTCTTCCCCGCATGTTTATTGTTTATGCTCCAGCTGTCACAAATCATTACTCATTATTAAAGGATAGACTGTTCAGCTTGCCACTGTGTTACCCTTCTCTCATTAGCGTTGACTGTCAGCCATGAGATTATGCAACCAGCAGGGCACACTTCCATGCATTCATCTTTTTTCAGTGCAGTAATGTACTCATCTATTTTTTATTTATTTATTAAGGTTTATTCCACACTTGTAGCTTTGATTCTCTTTTACAAACCCCCAAAGTTAATTACTATATTTATGACATTTTGAATTAAACAGAGCGTAAGGATGGAACAAGCACCCACACTGTAGTCAAAAGCCTTCCTCAGTGTCTCAACATGACCACCTACTGTTTTAAAAACAGTAGGTGGTCAATCAAGCAATTAGGAAACTAGGTGGTAATTAAATTAATAGGCATCCAAGTGGAAAGAGGAGCTGTTAGTGATACATTAACGCACATGTACAATAAGAAGCTAATAGAGGTTGAAACAGAGGCAACAGACCTTTCTCACAGCAGCCATTTTGACATGACAGGACAAACAGGTGTTACACTAAATGGAAACGATCCTTTATTAGTATGACTAGTAACACCTGTGTTTACCCTACTATTTCATGTCGAAATGACTGTTGTGGCATACAACAAATACAACATAATGACCTACTAATGTACAGCTTTAATGTGGCGGACAAAATAACAGGAACACAATTTCATTAAATCCAGTGCACTAGCTCGAAATACCTACCTTTGTGAAGCATATAATGCTCAGTTTATTGGTTTATAAACGGTATAACCTGTATTTAATCAGCGAAACCCAATGAGATCAAGAGTCCTGAGTGTAAGACTCTTATTATGTGACCATAATTCCATATTTATAACAACTCGTTGAGATTAAAATCTCTTTTTCAATGGTGCTATAGGTCATGTGATAACATAACAAAACTATCTCAATAACAACGAAGCATGCTCCATCCACTGAGGAAGTCCATGAGATGTATCTGAAAGCTTCAGGAGAAACAAACTGACCCTTCTCTAACATTTTTTGCGCCCTGTAGGATAATTATTATTAATAATTATTCCTCCTGACACCCATTTGATTTGTCTAATCCAGACTGCTGATCTTCAGAAAAGGGCATAATTTCCACCGGGGATGTGGGGGACACGTCCATGAAACCTCTTTGAATGTTGTTCTCTTATTATCCTGCTTCCATAATCCACAGGAGAAAAGACAGGAGATAATAAAAATGAAATTAGAATCAACTGAGTAAAATGAGCTAAATGCTAATTAGAGCATTTTAGCAAGCTGTCATTAGTATTTAGCTCAAAGCACCACTGAGCTTAAGTACAGCTACACAGAGCTACTAGTGTGGCTGCTTTGTCTTTTTCACTATTTTCTGATATTTTAAGGACCAAAACAATTAACCAGTTAATCAAGAAAGTCATCATCAGATTAATCAATAAGGAAAATAATGTTTAGTTGCCGTCAGAGTTAAAAGTTCTGATCCAGCTTTTGTTTAAAGGTAGATTTTGGATGGTGAATTAAAACTCTCTGGGCACTCTGGGTTACTTAAGCATCCATTAAGAGACATTCTGGAGCCTCATAATTCATTAAATATCAAACTGTTGTTGCCAGTGTTTTAGTTGAAATAAAACACTGGCAATGGAAATAACATGCAACACAACCACCAGGTTTGGGCAAAAGTCTTTCAACAGATACCACACAGATCAATAACAGATATGAGCTAATGACTCAAGTTCACAGATAGATGACTCTTTGCAGCACTTGCAGAGATCAACATGTAGCAGTTTTAAAATGTCATCCTCAAAACAGACCACAGTGAATGCTGCTGCCTTGATGCTGTTTTCCTACTAAGGATTAAAATCATGTGAGATCCCAAGTTTAAACTTCAATTTAAAGTTTGCAAATGTGATGCATGAGGTATGAGACACAAAAAAAAAAACACAATGTGTACAAAACAGCACAAAGTTCAACACAACAACCTTGCAACAAATAGTCAACGTTATGAAGTTGCAATGTTTGAGTTAGCTGACACTGCATTAGATATGTGCTAATCAACCTCTCTGGTGGTTGTTTTTTTAAACTTGTGATGGTGTTGTGTTCCATTATATTGTGAGATCTTATTGTTTTCTGCTCCCCCTATACATAAAATTAGAGAGTATAGAGTTTAACAAATGCTTCTTAATAGCCATTATATGCTTCACAACTGTAGCCAGGCCTATTGTAATTTGTGATGTATTAGCATGTTGCTTCCTTGTGTCTACCCTGTGTAACTTATTATTTAAGATGAGCATTATCAGAGCTAAATCAGGTTTAAATCTCGTTGCAACTTTTGGGTGAATTAAGTTTGTTAAGGAAGGAAACAATGTGTTTAAAAACTTTAGAGAGGAAGGAAGGGGTGGCATCAGCTCATCATGCCGTCACAGACAAGAGGAACAGCAATTCAGAGAAAAACCAAATCCGCCCATGTGACCATGTCTGGTTTCCTTCTGTTTTAGCATATGTGCCAGAACATGCTGTTCTCTCAATGAAGGCAGTTTGCCTTTCTGTTATGCAACACATTTAGCAACAAGAAGTTGAGCCAAGCCAGTCACTCTCTGATTTGACTGAGAGCAATTCAGGACCCCAGCATCCATTTGTAGCAGGAGCTTTCTGAAATGTCTCGTACAAACACAACAAATTTAATTTACTGTTATTTTCTTTTCTTTCATTTTCTCATGTGGTCACCTAAAGCCATTTATGGTGGAATTGCATGACTCTGGAACACCCATTGACAAAGATTACCCAACTATATCTTATGATATCTCACTTTATTTACATTCTAGCATACAAATAAACAAATCATAGATCATCATCAGAAAAGTGCTTTAATGTAGTGAAAGAAAAAGGCCATGCAAGGTGAAGAGGATTTACAAAAAGCCAAAACAAACACTTTGTGCTCAACTTGCTATACTGTACATAGGTCAACAGAAACTGTCAAACAAAACATAGAAAACAAAAGAAATCATAGCATATTTTATTCACAGTTAACTGTGTTTTCATAGCTTCATTGTGATAGACTGGATATCTATCATTATAATTACATATTTTATAAATGCTGTACTCTAAATAGTACTACTGAGAAAGTGCCACCATAGAGGCGGCACATAGCTGATAGTCATTCAAAGTGAAACAGTGAATCATGAACAGATTGAACTTTATGTACATATACAAGCATTTCTCTAACACAGAGCTGCTCAGTGGGCAGAGCCTTTAAAACACTTTAGTCTCTTCTTATCTAACCGACAAAGAACAGTGAAAAGGGAAGGAGTAGGAGAGGAAGTGGCTACCATAATAAAGCCAAGCTCTTTTGCTATTAAAACATAAATTCCAGCCATATTAGATTCTCTAAGTTACAAAGAGCCTGGCTAAAGCTTGCTATGCCGCTTGAAAACTGGTCCTATGGCTTTGCCCACTGATATTTTTAACTCTGATAAATGTTTGCATATCTGGAATCCCATCTGTGGAAAAGTTCCAAAGTCAATCAGACGTAAGACTCCTTGGCGTAAGAAAACTCCTCAAACACAGGCTGACTACATCTCCGTGACACAACCTCGTGATGACCTGCAGACACAGACTCAGACATAGCTCTCTGGCGGTAAGGCTGCCGCCGCTCAACAGCGCTGGCTTTGTCCTGTGCAGCTTGAGCAAAACAGTCTATGTACTGATCGACAGCACAGGTAGGTGGGAAGTCATAGTTTACAGAGGATGGACGGGACCTTCTCTCCAGCTCTATGGCATCGTGTACAGTCATTGATCGATACTGTGGAGGAGGACACACGTTCTGCACTGCATGCTCAAATGGCGGAGGTCTGCGGGGCAGCCGGCTGTCCACATGTTTAAACACTTCAATGGCCGACAGAGGACGCGGTTTCTGTAGAAGCTCGGCTGGTGGATCTGCTTCACTCTGAGAGTCCTCCTGGAGAGTTTCACAAGGAAAGGAGTTTTCCTTCTGAGAATCTTTCTTCAGGCTGCCCCTGCTGAAAGTTCCTAAGCTCCTGGTCCTCATTAGGACTTTACTGGCAACCCTCATGGACTGTGAACGCCTCTTTTCATCTGAAATCGGTTTGGCAATGTCCTGGTGAACCTTTGCAACTCCTGGAAGCTGGTTGGTGGTGTTTGCTCTCCTAGGGCAGGTTGGCGACCCCACAGGGGAACTGGCGAAAACGGACCCTTCCGACTGATTAGAGGCAGCGCTCTCTAGGGAAGAGCATGAGCAGTCCTTGCCTGTCATGTAAGGCAGCTGATCCATGTTGGAGCTGCTGATCAGTTTTGTAAAAGACAAAACTGGCCTCGCTTCACCATGTCCTCTGAGCAGGAAGGAGTCATCTGAGATCTGCTTCTTCAGAGGCTGCTCCTCAAAGTCCCTCCTCTCCACCGAGCAGTCTTCGTGGCTCCTGGCATGGTTGCACAGGGTCTTGAGATGAGGTGAGAGGTGGATGATGGGCTCAGAGCAGCGACGATTGAATGTTGGCTGCGACCTGAAGGAGTCGGTGAAGCTGGGACTGAGGGAGGAACATGAGTCACTCCCTCCATGTGTGGAGCTGGCACTCTCGCCCGCCTCTCCATCTCCATCTGGGTCGGTGCTGTCATATGCAGAGTCATGATGCTGAGAGGACAGTGAGTCTGCATAGTGGGAAAAGACATGATTAGGATCTCTACATTTTACACTACTCAATACTGCAAATATGAATCAAATTTAGCTTGTAATTTAAAATTATTGGAGGAGAGGGTGGGGTCAGAAATCGGGGGGTTGTGTATTTATTTATTCATTCATTTCTTTTTAGGAGAGCAAGGAATGGTCTTTTCCACGTTAATGCCAAAAAGTTTATTTTATTTCATCCATTTATTTCTTTCTTTCCATTTCCTTTCATGTAAATAAAAATTGAATAGATAGATTAAAATATCAAAAATATGTCTTTTGTGAGTGTCATGGATCAAAGAAATGTTTTAACATGTGCAAGTTGAAAGTCAAACATAAGGCTCCCCACTCCACATACAGTCCCTAAACAGAGATAGTAAGAATTGAGATGATGTGTAAATGTACCTTCATCAGTATCCAGCAGATTTGGGATATTGTCTCCAAGGATCTCACAATGCTCAATCATGAACTGAGTTAGCTCTGTGACCTACAGCAAATTAGAAAAAGAAACATGATAAGAAAAATTATTCATTTTCAAAACCAAAATTAGATTAGATAAAGAATTCTGAAAATCAAAGCTGATGGATAAAATCCAGATACAGTACAATGCCTCATTTGGTCAAGCTAGTGTTTTTTATTATTATTAGCATTTAACCAAACAAATGTCTAACAAGTCTTTGGTAACTTTAGCAACTTAAGTTATGAAACCTTTTGAGGTTTTCTGCACTGTGAACCGCAAAGCTTCAAAGCACCAAAAGTGAGAAAGTATATTCATAACGAGACTTTCTACCTTTTCAATCCTTTCTTTCTGCTCATCCAGCGGGGTGTCGTTCGCCTGCAGCAGCGTGGGGGCGATACACACCGCCAGGTTGTGGGCGTCCATCTTGTTGATGTCAGCACTCTCGAGGATGCGATGGAGGACGCAGACTAGATGCTGCAGGAGGAGTTTGTTTGCCCCGGGAAGCATGTCTACCACCCTGACAGTGGGTAGCAAAAGGGAGAAGGAAGAAAAAAAAGAGAACAGGAAGAAGACATTAGCTTGCCGCTCTTTTTTTAATTCAGTTTCTTCCCTTTTTTTAAACAGACTGAAAAAGAGAAGTGGTTTGTGTTCAGCCTACAGGCATTGGGAATGCTTTGCAACATCCACTCAAAATACCCTTTTCTTCATATAAATGTCATATATAAATAGAAGCTGATTGTCACAGTTGCAGGTGCATTGAACTGCCTAGGCTCATAAGCTGGTATTGATTGCTTACTTTCTCATTTCCAGAGCTCTCTGCTGGGCGTCTTCATTGTCCAGAGCCCTCATCCAGTTGTCATAAAGTTTAGATACCAGCAGGCTGCCAGGAAGTTCCTTCAGAAAACTCTGCAACAAACAAGAGAGGGACTGGATGAGACACAGTACCTATTAATGCAAACGGCCTGGTGTGACATGGTGTGAGGACAAAAATATCTTACAGGTATCAAGGAGGAACCTCATATTGTAGATTAATTGAATATTATTATATAGTAAGAGTGTATAGTGCTGTTATTAAGTACAAGTTTGAGGTATTTTAAACCAATATTTCCATTTTATGCTACAAATATTGTACTTTTTACTCCATTACATTGATATGACAGCTTTAACTGCTTGTTACTTTGCACATTGTTAATACAAATGCAATGTTTGCATAATGAGTAATATTGCTTTTGGTACTTTAAGTATACTGTACTATGGTAGGGCAGCAGATGCTACAGTAGTGGAGTACTATGGCGGTAGTAGCTGTGGTTGTGGTAGTAGTGGTAATGGTAATGTTTGAGCATCATGTAATAGTTTAATTAAATTCAATTAAAAACCTTTATTTAAGTCTCCAGGATCATTTACAGTGATGTGGAGAAATGCAGAGTGAAAACAAATCATAATAAAATAAAAATGTAGATGTAGAAATGCTAATGGTGCAGCAAGTACCATAGAAGTGGTGTATACATAATATGTATGGGAACGTACTTTGAGCAGCCCGACGAGCAGAAGGACCGGCTGACCCTCCAGGTCCACCTCCTGGCCGCTGTTGAGCTGTTCCCTGATGTCCCTCATGTTCTTGCTGTTGCACGGCTTCCGAAACACTCCCTCTGTGGATGGCCCCTTCTTCCTTAGCAACACCAGCATCTCCTGGGGAAAGGACGGGGAGCGGAGGACAGGTGAGGTTACATAGTAAAAAAAAAACACCATCAAGCTGTTGAGTGATTTTTCAGCAGATACTAATAAACATGCAGCTCATGTGCTCACATGGTTTCCTGTTCTCATTAATAGATTCTTAGAACTGCTGTCAAAGGTCAGCTCAGTAGGTGTTTATTCACCATTCGTGCTAGAATTAGATCTATTGTAACAAGCTGTCCTTTATTACTCTATTTTTTAAAAAAAACTTTAGGAACAAATAATGAAACCAGACAGAAAATAATAAAAAAGACAACTTATTCTGCTCATAAGTAGTTCAGTTCTTGTCTAAAAGAAACCCGGCTGGCAGGTGGAAGTGACGAGAGATCTGACATTTAAGATAGAAAGTCAACTTACTGCAACTGGTTTGGGGAGTGAGCAATCATCTGGGCATATCTTGCAGAGGGACTGTCCAAACAGCTGTGTCTTGGTGTCGGTATCTGATCGGCGCGCTTTGATGAAACTAGAGCCTTTTCTGATCCTCCTCACCAGGCCCCACTTGGTTTCTGATAGGAGCAAATGAAATGTTTTATCCATCAGCTTACTTTAAAATGTTATATCATATTTACAGATCTAAGCATTTATCTAATATGTCTATTGATAGAAAATTAAAATTAGTGCAACAGACCCCATCAAAAAACAGATGCAAATGTGCAAGAGGAGTGCCAATGTGTTAATACCTGTTTTCTTCACTTGCTCACCCCTATCAGTTGTTAGGGGTGAGATTTCCTTTTTCTGTCTCTGTGGTTGTTTTTTTTTTTTGTTTTGTTTTTTTTGGTCTCATTTCTCTACACATGGCACAAACTAATGAGCCCCTCCCCCCAAAAAACTGCCATTTTCAAACTCACCATTGGGCTGCTTGTCATCTTGGTTATTCGAGTGCTTTGCTGGAGCAGCAATCTTTACATCGCCCTGGCAACAAAATAAAGAAAAAGTGATGTAGTGATGAGTATGCAAGAGGAACAGGAGCGTGCAACAGGAACAAAGGGCGGGTATGTGTTTTCTCAGTTGCCCGGGACCACAACCCCCTCGCCCTTCATGCCTACTAACATGTGAATCGGTTAGAGTGAGAGTAAGTGTACTACAGTAGAATCAATCAGATCTATTATTATTTATCTGCATCATATCAAGTATCAACATCTTTTTCATTTACTTTTAAACTGTGATTCAACAACTGTATTTTTTTAGCAGCTACAGTATATGCATTTCAAACGCTGTGTATATCGGCAAATCTGTCTAATCAAACATCCTTTCAGCATGAGTAGGAAGGCGCAGGTGTCTTTCACAAACAGCTGTTTTGCTTGAATGTCTTTAATCTCAAGAAGGCAGTGAAAATGGGGATTTTACTTACATCAAGTGGAAACTCAATGAATTGTTCCATGCCACCTCCTGTTAGAGTTTTAGTCTGAAAGATGATGAACAAAGAGACATCATTTAGTAAAAGCATTGTTTATATATATATATGTTTATATATATATATATATATATATATATGTTTATATTGGACATGCCAGTGGGCAGTGAAAGACTTACTGTGATGCT